ATTTAATGCTGAGAGGAGGTGAATTAGAGCAATAAAATGAGAAAACCCATAGTGTTTTAGACACTGGCTATCTGCAGGGCAGTGTATGTCTAAAATTATGTGGTCATGTTTATTGTTGTTTATTTAACTAGAATATTATATGGTATTATGTAATAGGGTTGTCAAAAGTACCACAAATCTGATATGAATCAATATTAAAACTTATATTGAAATTAGATACTCATTTGAACTGAATGAACAGAAATGAACCTTCCCTAAATAGGTTTAGAATTATCTTGATCTGCATCAGAACAAGTTTAAGACCACTTCGGCTAGTATACACCCATGGACCACCATGGAACCTGTACGACTGAGAATTTTCACAGATATAAGATGAGATGGTAATATAAAAGAAAGTATTACAATTACATGTTGAAAATTACATTTGTCATTTCATATTGTCTAAATAAAATAGCATTTTTATTATCATGGTAACATGGTATCATGGTATTGGACTCAGTATTGAGAATCAAGTCTGTTCCTTAGTATCAAAATCGAGTTTTAGTATTGTGAACACTATTATGTAATACATTTACAATTAATACATTCCTTAAATTCAAATTTTGGGAGAAACATCAAAATTCAACAGTTATTCATCACAATTATTTACACCACAGTCAAACAACATTTAAATATTTATTTGCCATCATTCCCCTTGTCACATACATTGCCCTTCACTAGTTTGTGACCAGCTTTATGAAATCAAAGTTTCTGAATGGTTAATTTGGTTAATAAAGTTAATGTGTCAGTAAAAGCACTAATTTTTTATTAAATGAACTGAACTAACTTAAAAAATGTCTTCATTATTATTTTATAAGTTATTAATTTTATATTGTGACTGGAATAATCACACATTTATTGCGTGAATAATCTGGACAGCCCAAGATTTCAGAGTTTGGACTACCCCAATATTTATACATGTCATAAATAATGTTGAAAGTTTACAGTAATGTGGTTGTAGTTATATTCATGATCATAGTCCAAACGAATTGACAACCACTATATGTGCCCTAACGCAAAATGTGCCTTAGACCTACTTTTTCATTAGATTCTAATGTATTGACGTGCCCTTGTTTACAGCATTGTAGACTGAATTTTTCAGTCCTCACCACCAGAGAGCATCGTTTAGTTGTACAATCCTTACAGCTAAACACCTTTTGTTAGCTTGTACAATTCTGTGTAATATCAGTGGTATGGGACCCGGCTGCTGCCATAATCTTAATAACGGGTTTATAGTACGTCAGACTCACTTCTGCTGGTCCCGTCTGTATCCTGACAATATTTGATTCAGACAAATATGTTTGATACGCACGTCATTGCCTCTGATTAAATGTATAGTCGTCTGTCTGTAGTCTCAGGGCGTACGTCACTGACCGGCTTTGCTTGTGTTTTACTGCCATCCACTGGACAAAGTGTGAATGACCTTCTGGCAACAGAGATCCACAAGAGGTCGCTAATTACGGATTCTAATTAATTTATGTGTAACATGATACAACCTTATAGCATGAAATATATAATTCTGTCTTCTAGATTTATTGCCTAGTAGTATAATATATAGTACAGTCAGTGTTATAGTTGTTATCTTAGTATTCATTATTTTTAAGTTTCATATTAGAAGAGTGCTTTAAAAAAGCCTATAGTCTATTACATGTACATTACTGATTATATTAGACATGTTGTATTGGACGGGTCCACCGCCTGCTTGTCTCTACAAATGTTATTGCTTTGCCTGGAATGTTTCACAGTATAACTTTAAACTTATCTATCTCCAAGGTGCTCACAATAAGAAAAATGCAAGTATTTTAAAAGAATATCTGTAATTGAATAAATGGAAGAAAGATGTTTAAAGGGCCTATACTGCGCTAGTTTCTGATCTGTTATATTATTGTTTAAGCATCCCAAACATACCTTGAGTTGTGTTTTGTTTCATTCACACATGTTTAACACACAAACTGTGCATATTGAGGTCTTCTCTCAACTGGGAAACACTCTAAACCAACTTGTGATGTCATGTGGTAATACAGGAAGTCCTCCAATGTGTTTTTAAACTCCATACACCTTCACTGGAACCATCTGGATGATTTCAGCCCTTAATTTGCCTGTCTTTATTGAACTAAAGGCAAAATGCAGCTATTAACTTGAAAACTACCAGTACATAACATCACAAGAAGGAACAGTGCATTTTGAGCTTTGGAGATGTAGACAGACTAAAAATAAAGGATTTCTCTATCATGTGTGAATGAAATAAACACAACTCTGCATATGTTTTTGAGGAGGTTACAAGATTATAACATGTCTTAAAGGTCACAATCATCCATTTTGTGTAATATAGGACCTTTAATGCCATACTGTTGAACATTCCAGACAAGGCAGTAACCCCCACCAGACAAGCTACACAGTGCACCTGTATTTAACAAACCACATGTTATGCACACAATGACAGTAGGTACTGTGGCACATACAGTAGACCCATGCTTCTTCCTTCCTGTTCACCGCAGATGTCCGTTGAGAGCAGAGCTGTGCATTCCTCTTATCTCCTGGTCATTAACTGATAAAACCCCACACATCAGATCAGCCACTCACATAATAAAACACAGAACACGGACCAGGAAATATGTGCCTTGTATCCTGAATATTTGCTGTCAAAATAGGTTTAGTGGACCTCTAGCTTGATGAAAAAGTCCCCTGCTTTTTCCCATTTGTTACAGTGAACTTACTCACATGCTCAAAACAACAGTGTAAATGGTAGTTGTGGATAATGTACTACCTATTGAGGTGTACATTAAAATACATTAAACTGGTTTGACTTGTTATCTTCTGAGTTGTAAAAAACTAGGCAATGACCCGGTATTTGAATAGTTAAACACAGATCAAGTCCATAAACCTGTCTGTATTTTTGGTGCCATCTAGTGATAAAAGGTCAAATAAAACTTGTACTTCAAATTTGTATTTCAAATAGTAAATCTTGTTACACAGCTGTGTAGATTAGAAGCACAGATGTAGGTTTCTGAAAATTGTTTGGGCATGACTTATTCTCATAACACTTTTATCGAATGGCTTGATACAAGGAAATCAAAGAAAAATATTGGACAAAAATAGATACATAAATTGTTCAGTATGCTGTCTTGTCTGCATAGTTTCAACCATTTATTCATGATTTTAGATTTTTATATTTCAGAAAAAAAAGAAATTTAGTTTACGCCTGCTTAGAAGAAGCAGTAAAATGTATTTATATTTTTTATTTATGCTTCTGCTCCCCATTTATAGGCAACATTTTGAGGACATATCACCATTGAAATATATTATTTAGCTTTTACTTTACATTGCCAATTGTTATGGTAATGTTTCAAATTCTCACGGATTGTACTTATTGTGAAAACTGCAGCAACAGTGCTCCATAATAAAAGAGAGAGGAAAAGATGTTTACAGTAAAACAACAAATTACAAACACTTTTATAAACCAGTGGAAATAAAATAAAGTACAGGTCTTAAGATGTGTTTTCAGTTGACTCTAATATGAGGTCATTGTAGGAGCAGAGTTATTGGGAAGGACAGTCCATTTACAGGGGGAAGGGAAAGGAAAATTCACTCACATTTAGTTTTGTACAGTTGTAAGTTTAGTGGACCAGACAAAAAGGTGTCGATTATTTTGGTAAGGGTCTCTAATTCGGAAAGAGGAAAAAACATTTACCCTGCACTATGTAACTTTCCTGGAGATGGAGACGTTCCTGCTTTGCCTGGAAATTTCCACAACACGGCATTAAACATATTTATCTCCATGGAGATAAGCAAGCAGGCAACATGTCACGTCAGACCTGGTCAGCTGTCAGGTCAAATCTGTGGAGAGGTGACTCACTCACAGTAAGAATGCAAGGTTTTGAAGGTATTTATGGGAATAGAAACAACCTTAAATTCATACTTAAGACTAGGGCTGTACGATAAAAAGATATGATATTTGATAACTTTAGTAACAATATTATTGCAATATTTATTTATTTGAGACAGGGACAGCGCACAATTTTACATTAATCTTAACAGGAGAGATGCATTGTACCAGGTTGGAGCACCAGTGTTAATTTCCACCTGTAGTCCCTGGGCAGATTCATTGATTGATGGTATTTAATTGACCTTGACTATCAACTGTTCTTGGAGACCTATGTAGCATGTTTTGGATTGATGGGGGAAACCGACACGGGGAGAAACATGCAAACTCCACACAGAAACGCCCGGGCAACCTGGGGATCGAACCCTGAACCTTCTTGCTATGAGGCGTGAGTGCTAGCCACTGTTAAATTAAATAAAAACTGATCCTTCTTTTATTACTGTTAACTGTCAAAATAAAAAAATAGACAAGAGACTAAACCAAGACATTGATAAAATCTACCTTTTTTGTGAATGTTATTTAAAAACATTAAACTTCTGTAAAATTGAGAACTTTGTATTTATTTGTTATATTGATATTTTTGTAATATATTGTGCAGCCCTACTTAAGAGTAATATCTTAAAAACATGCAGGAGATGTATGATCCACCGGACATGTTACATAGTGCACCTTTAAACTTCTTGTCTAACTTTTAATACTTTTGTGTACTTTTGATTATATGATTTACGTCAGTGTTGCTTATATAACATGCACTAAAAACTTAAAGAGCCCATGTTACTCTATTTTCTGCCTGCATATTTAGGCTGAATTCTTTTCTCAAACATTGTTCCACCTTGTGATGTCATGTGGAATACAGGAAGTGCTCCGTTGTCTTTTAAAATCAGTATACACTTTCACTAGAACCTTCACCTGGAATTTCCCATCTCTACCAAACAAAAGGTAAAAGGTAACTGTTAAACTGAAAATTACCACTGCATGACATCACAAGGTTGAACAGAGCATTTTGAACTTTGGAGATGTAGACAGCAGTGAACCAGGATTACTCAAACATGTGTAAAGGAAACAAAAAACAACTCCAAGTATGTTTCTGAGAAAGTAACAAAATTCTAACATGGCTCAAAGTTCACAAGAACCCATTTTGTGTAATATGTATTATGACCTTTAATGATTTTATAGTTTATCTTGCGTGGTACTTTTTACCTGCTTTGTGTGGCTTATAAAACTATTCAATACCCAGTCTATTATGACAAATTATACTTGGACAGATAATGAATGATTCAACCAGGAAACTAAAACCACAGGGTTAGTGTGCTTGCATTCACACCTCGTCCTTTGATATTCTGCTTCTATATTGTGCAGTGTATATATAAATGGATAGTGCAAATGACATGTGGACAGCTTCTTAAAACCACTTAAAAAGCACCATGACTTTACCACAAACCAGCACAAAAAACTCCCGCTCAGTAAATCAAAACTATAGAAAACAATATAAGCTTTTCAGAGCAGAGGAGCAGAGGGGAGTGACTCAGATCTGCCCAGTCTCCTCTCCACGCTGCTGGTGCTCACAAGCCCTTAATCTGGACAGCGATGCAAATAGGCTAAAAAACGTCCCTGCCAGACATTTGCATTTAAACAAATTGATAAAGGTCATTTTGTGGAGCTGGGTGAAGCACAGAGTGGCGTGTGTCCAGCCCTTTTCACAGAGCGGTTTATACTCTCACCTCAGTATGGTCCTGATGAACGCAGAGACAGGGATCAACTACTGCAGGGGATAAACTGAGGAAGAGACACATACAGACATCATGGACACAGGTAGGGCAATAACTATGATTTTTGCAACTTTGTATGCATTTATGTTTTATATTTTCTTGTTTTAAATATGAATTATTCACAACATTGTAAAACATAGCTTACTAAGAAGACTCTTTTATCAAAAAAATATAATCTGACATGGTATTAGCGCAATTGTCTTCTATAATGTGCTGCAAATTATTAGTAGTAAATCAATATTTTGGCTGGTTTGAATAAACTGGGGGCTTATCTAAAAAGGTCCATTCAAAAAACAGGGATCTTTTACATATAGTTTTTTGCATGCAATTTCCTTCTGTATAATAAAGTTTGCATTTTCATCGAGTTTATGCTTCTGCTACTCAGGAATGTCCCCAAATCACACCTGTGCTAATGACAGATTTATTTATTGTTTACTTATAATACAAAATTATGATGATGATGATGATGATGATGATGATGATGATATTATTATTATTATTATATAAAATAATAACACATATATTCACTTGAGTGTTACATTAATTTACACTAAATTGCCTCTTTTTTGCCATCCATTTGCATGAACCAAACCAAATGTAATTTCCATGATATTTACACACCAATCCCAACAGGTCATTGGCCTATATGCATAAAACTGTGAAACATTCAAATGAACAGCATTTGTGGGAATGGATGAAAATCTGTACGCAGTTGTGTTACATGGATTTGTATTTGATGTAAAACTTTTCGCAGATTTTTCCAAGCGGGTTTACCAAGGCGTCCGGGTCAAACACACTGTGAAGGACCTCCTGGCTGAAAAACGATCTCGACAGACCAGTGGACCCAGATACACTGTAAGCATCTCACTTTTGTCCTCTCCTTTCCCATGTCATTTTTCATTCAAACCACAGCTGACATTCTGTTTGTAGCACAATTATTCATCTCTCTTTTGAAATTTCCCTCTCTGTTTACATTTGGGCTGTTTTGTCTGCTAACGATCCATGGTTAAGGCATTGACCAGGTTCCCACTCCCCTCCCCTCTTCTGTGTCTCTATGCTCCCAAACCGCCTGCAGAAGTCCAAAAGCCAATCTGTAAATAGCTAAACACTGGTTACAGAGAGAGAGACCTGGGATGACCTCACAAAAGAGCTGACACAAAGATGACAATGACTGTGGCATTGCGATTCAAAAGTCCCTGAGCTTTGGGAAGGGCGGGGCATGGGGTTTTCAGTACAGGATGGAGGGAGCCTGGCCGTGCGACTGGCTGCCTATGCAAAGTCCCATCCTCTCACACCTGCCCGCGGACATTGTCTTGGTTGCCGTACAAGTCCTCCATTGTTGTCGCACACAAACACCCAAGGCAGATTTACTTTAAAACGTGCACGAGCAAGACCTCCTTTTCAGTCGCTTATAGTGGCAGTGAAAGAGTCTATAGACAGTGCTGTTTACCATGTGTGAGCATCGGCATGTCCACTCATACACACACAGCGCACCAACCACGGTCTAATGACAGGGTTTAGGGCCAGACAAAAGAAGGGGACTTCAAATTAAACAAAAAACATAAAACCATAAAATGATCCTGCACTATCTGTTGTCACGCTGTCACACACACACACACATACACACACAAGTACGCATCTGAAAGCCACCAAAATCATTGTATACTTGGAAAAATCATGACAATAGTTTAGAGGGCCATAATTAACCCTGTGCAAAGAAGACATAAGTATACACACAAAACTGTATGGGAGCCTAGATAATTCAGATTTTTGAACAGATGTTATCATGTACAATTAAACAAAAATGCCCCAGGTGAAAAATGAATTAAAACCAAATACAAAAAGTGGATTAATCTATTGAAATACATTATAATATAAGGTCCTAATACAATATGTTTGCTACTGTTTACTTGTTGCTACCAGGGACTAGTCTCTGGGTGCAACTTGTTCACATGCGTCAGTGGCCCTGGTAACTTCATTTTATATATGTCCTGTTAGCATTGAATGTGTAGACCTTTTTAAAGCTTGTAAACAGAGAATGGAGGCAAGCGTTAAGTGAAACATAATTAAATGTCAATGGAAAATTTTTTATTGAGCACAGTATATTGCAAATAATGAAAAATCAAGCGGGGTTTGCTAATTGATTACTCAGATACATGTAAGTGATATCAGAGCCTGGTATTTTGAGATTATTATTTTAGGCCAAATATAATTACCCCACAATATTTTGCCTTAATATTATCTGATACCACTGCTACTACTGGTATTGGATATTGGTGTCAATACTAAAAAAATTGCTGAATTGGATATCAGCTTCAAAATACCGATTCAGATGATATCCTGGTGGGATATTAATTAATGTAATAAGTAAGAGAGTAGTGAGTAAGAGTAGTGCTGATGTAGTAGTATAGTAAATGTAGTCATAATGTTGTGATTAGTTGAGAGATTAATAACAGCCCAATTAACAAATTTGGATCAGTTCTGTCTTATTTTATTTTAGGTAGGAAATAAATGCTGTTTTCTTTCTCTGCACTGGTACTGGTTGATATCAGAAATCAACAGATACTTAAAGCCATAGTATCGAAATCGGGTTTGGAACTGAAAAAGCTGGATTGGTGCGTCACTTTTTGAAGCTCAAATACAGTTTTTTGCCTAGATTAACTAATCAGTGATTCACTGACATAGCATTTCTTATGATAACATAGTAATTTAAATGGTTTATTGGATAACTTACATTGACTAAAAGTTACTTTGTTACCAACATTTCCAGATAGTGTTCTTCTAATGCACTATGCACTATGATGTCATATCCATGGGTTTCAGAGTCACTGTTGACATAGCAATTAACAATTCAAAAATCCAAAATGTAGCTTTTGTAAGGTCCTTAAATGGCATCAATAGAAAACTGAAATCTGTGAATACAGTACATACCATTAGAGTACCATTGTTATTATTGCTGTGTGCTATCCAAATAACAACAAAATCATACACATTTATAGGGAAAACACTGGTGACGAAATGACAAAAATTTGCTTATTATCTAACCTTGTGAACACATTTACTAAAAATAGGTGCTTTCTATTTTATGATGTTTTCAAACCCATGACTACCACTTTCAGACCACAGTAGTTGAGTAGAATAGTAATTGTGTATAGCAAAATAGAGAGCTCACTTATCCAAAAGAGTGATTTTGCTGTAGATGTTATTATGATGTATTGTAGTGTAGTAGATTTAAAGAAACATGCCGTGCTTCACTTGACAGTTGGCAAAACAAACAGATCCAGAGTCTCCATCTTTCTCCATTCAGGTCCATCTCTCTGCAGCTGCTGTTGTTTTTGTGTCCGAGCTCTGAAAGCACTGCAGTGAGGCGCAGCAGCACACACACGCAAACTACTCCACACTTTTATCACAATACCACAAACCCTCTTACAAGTTAAGACTTAGTAGTTGAAAGTAGTATATATTTGATTTTACATTTTTGTTTTGATGTTGTTGTTTTTGTTCATTTTTAAAGGTGCACTGCTTAACTTTTCTGGCATTTGGTATGCCACCACCTGCTTGTTTCCATGGAGATGTTATTGCTTGTCCTGGAATGTTGGTATGATGTTAAACTTCCATATTATTTGTCAGATATGTGGAGAGGCATCCCCACTCACAGCTCAATGGAATGTATTTTGTTTGTGTGTGATAAACCACCTATAATTTCATTATTTGATAAATGCAACATAGGTTTAATGCCAAACTGGAATATTCCACACAAACCAATAACATATCCATGGTCACAAACAGGTGGCAGGCCCCTCATCTGAAATTTTAGACAGTGTAGATTTAAATCTTCTGTTAGTATTCTCCAGAGTTATGAAGCAAACATGTTCATATAAATCTGTGATTATTTTTACTTTCACTGCTAACAATTGTAATTAGTTGCATAAAAGTTAAAGTTCAGAAAATATCCACTCCACAAAAAGTTCCTTGCTTTGGATTGCCAGATCATGCAACTGTTAAGTATGACTGTTGTAACTGTAGTAAACTTTTACACAGAGTTGGAGCTTATACTAAAAGAAATACATTAAAGATGCAAATGACTGTACAGCTGAATGGAGCCCTGTGTTTATGTCCGACTAATTTCTTGATAAATGAATTTGAATAGAAGCTCTATGTAACAGAAATATTTTTGTGGTGACAAAGATCTGATTATATGATCATGATACATCCACACGGCAAATAGTATAAAGTCTGTTGACATGGTGATGCTGTAGTGTAGTCCTTCATTTGTCCAGGATTAATTCAATTGTGAGAAAGTTTCATTGGTTGTCATCTGCATTGGTGGAATGTAACAAAGTAAAAGTAGTATTGTACTTAAGTATAAAAGTTGGTTCAAAGTTAGCTTTATTGTCAATTTATTCACATATACTAGACATACAAAGGAATCAAAATTACGTTTCTCTCTCTCCCATGCGTAGACAATGACTGGGAGAGCGAGAGGCCACTACATCTGCACTCATTATTTATCTATTGAGAAGTATTTAGGTATCTATACTTTACTTAAGTACATTTTACAGTGGGAACTTCATTCTTTCAAAATCATTCAGTTGTCAAAATTCAGCACAAATTTTTTTTTATCAAAATCAATACATTTAAAACTTTATAAGACCTCAAAATCTGTACAAAGCTTTGTACTGTTTAAGGACATTTTTGCTACTACTTTTTGCTACTTTTACTTAAGTAGATTTTTTCCACCACTGGTCATCTGTGAACAAAACAGAGCAAAACAGTCTAGATATTCACTGATAAAGCTTTGTCTACATTTAAAGACTGTTGTAAAGTATTTTCATAATTAAGAGGCGTTACTAAATCTCTAGTCCCAATGTGCTTTTCATTTGAATGGATTTAAGCGATGCATGCTACAACGATTATGTAGAGCCATGAAGTGTTTATATGAGCTGATAAAAGACTACTGACAACTATGAACAAACTCTGACCACAAGCCCAACTGCTTCAAGTCTAAACTCGGAGAGTCTATAGAGAATATAGTGTTACATCACCAAGGTAAATAACAAAGCTAATATGACATAAGGATATGTTTAATGAATACATGCATGGTTACTTATGTAAATAAACTGGTATCTGGGATCATGTTTTGTTAGACATTTCTGACATGGGTCTACATAAGAACCTACGTTTTGGAGTTTTGTTAAAGACTAACTCAAATCTAATTTACACAAGGCTAACTGAAAGTGAACAGTTCCCAGAGCAGAATTTTATCAATTGTGTTTTTATTCTCAAGGAAAAAGGACAACTGGACATAACATTAGTTCAAAGTTTTACTAATGCTATCTGACAGACAAAACAAAAAATATGTGCAAAATTGACAAACAGTAAACAAAAAATAAAATTTGAAACTTTGTGCAATTTTTGATGTAAAGATCTGCATTTTTACTGAAGTAAAAGTACAGATACTGGAGCACAAAAATGTTCAAGTAAAAAAAAATATTAAAGGACCCATTAACAGTATGTAAAAGTATTTTGCACAGATTTTGAGGTTTTATAAAGCTTCAAATGTATATTTTTGTTTGCTCAAACTAAGAACATATTTAAAATAACCCCCTCAGCCTTTACAGCAGGTCTCAAACCATAATAAAATAGCCACTTTAAAATGTACTCAAGTAAAATACAGATACCTAAAATGTACACTTCTACTACTTTTATATACTACTATTTTTACTTGTACTTCATTATGTTTTACCATTGCTTATAAGTAATCTCTTAAAGTAACTTGTATTTATAGGTAACCCCTGTACACAGCAGTATGGACAGCATAAGGCTTATTCTAAGAAGTAGGTTTAAACATAGTCATAACGAGTGACCGACATGACTGGTGTAGTCGCATCCCCCACCTCTAGAGTCTGGGAGCATTTCCATACGCAGCCTTCAGAGAGTCACTGTGCCGTACCTGGGCCACAGAAGGAAGTCTTGGCGCTGGCAAATTACATTCAAATTTAAGCCTCAACATTTGCATGCTTCCCAGTCAACATGGGCTTAATATCAACTCTTTCATGTTAGCAATATGCAAACAACTGTGCCTATACCCTGGGCATGAGCTACTGCTGTGCTCCTTCCACATCCAAACTGACCTGACTGTCTACGCTCCAATAACCAGCAATGTCCTGCTCACTCACATGTGGAACTTCTACAGAGGAGCACATACTATAAACCTGGTATAAAAAGATGTGTGTAAAAGAAACTTTGATTAATTAAAATGTAATATTATAATAGAGTAATACTATTTGAACTAATGAAAATATTCTCAGGTTTAAGGTGAAGAACCACTCCTGGACAAATGAGGGATTACACTGTTTTATTCTCAGGTTTATACTGGAGAGTAATTTAAAAAAAAAAAAAAACTTCAGCAAAGTATCTCTTTCTTATAAACTCTTATTGATATGAATTATTATTTTTCACTGCAAACCTTTCTCTAAGGCAGATTTTTATAAAAGGCCTCCATTAAAATATAGTAATTTAATTTAACCCAGGATTATACTGTACAACATGAAATTGTAAACTGTAAAATTGTGTACTTTTTTACTTAAAAGTAACATGCTTGTTTTTTGTTTGCAATTACCTCATATCTTAACCCTCTCAGGCTCAAATAAAATTTTAGTAACAAGAAAAAATCTGATATTTGGGGAAAATGATCATATGGGGTAGTAATATACAATCCTGACTTTTTTTTGAGAGAGACCTTCACATCCAGTGCGTTCTGGGATGTTGCAGATTTGCAGCATTGGTCTGGTGTGGTAAATTAACACTGAAGACTGAAAATGATATGAACACTAACTTTATGTGTATGCCACTTTTCATAACAATGAAAACATAAATCACAGTGTAACAGTGCTTTACATTGGCAGAACAACATCACTTTTTCGTGTGGTACTCCAAGAAACAATTTTTATCCTTTGTAAACAACAAAAGTACTTTGCACTTCTAGCAGGCCGTTTGTGTGTCGCCATTCTTGCACAGTCTGCATCGTCCACGTTTATCAGCATGGATGGGAAAAAAGGCTCCTGAGTAAAAAAAGCTCATAAAATATGGATTTGGAGTAAGTAGATAATTGGCATTTAGCTGTTGCAAATCTGCAACGCCTGCCTGGAGAGGGTTAATCATGTTTTGAAGCAAGCTCAAATTTGGCGCACTTTTTCTGTGCTACCTAATCAGTGAGGCTGACTTTCTGTGCTGGCCCTTGCAGCTTCTCCTTCTGCTTAGAGACCTTGAGGACCCACTCCACAATTCACAAACTTGGCCTGTCCCATTGACTGAAGTGAGATAAGATTTTGGCTCTATCATGTCATCTAATGTTGTGCTTTGTGCTTCACAGGGGGGGTCCACCACTCCACCTTCTTTCATGCAGATGTCAGGTAAGATTTCACTGTCTGTGGTTCTCACAGTGTCTACCCTCAGTCTCCATCACTGCTGCTGTTAAAGCCACTTAAATCTTTCACCACACCACTTAATGTTTTCAATCAGTGATATGCATAAACCTCTATTTGTATGTAAACAAGTAGGAGATACTTTCATTATTGCTAATCAGATAGTATCTACTCCTGTGATCATCTAACTCTGGACTTTCTCCTCAGGATCTCATGTCCTGCCTGGGTACTATGGCATGAGACGCACCTTCGATTCGGATTTCTGCTCCTCCACAAAACAATTCTCCCCGGACTTATACTCGTCCAGCCTGGGGGCCAAGGCGCTGGGCTGTGAGGCTCCCACTATGAGCAGCTACTCCTCCCTCATCGACAGCTATTACCCAGAAACCTTTGGGGACTACCGCACAGCCTCTGCCTTCTCCAGCTCCGGGGGGTCTTTCCTGCCCTCCACAGCCCTGTCCTCTTTGCTGCCTCCCTTCAGCAGTGACACCTCCTCACATCTCTTTCTGGTATGTCAATACAAAGTGTCTTTTCAGTGTTGTACTCTTGCTGATTGGAACTCCCTACAGAAACTCAAAAAATCGTATACATCTGGCTCATTTTGACATCCTCTTAACAGACATGGAAAGGCAACTGTTGACCTGATCCTGTTTATATTGTTTGTTTTATAGCTGAAATATTAATTATTAATTATATGAAATGTTGATACCTCTTAGCCAGGACTTCGTTGAAAAAGAGATCTTTGAACCTCAATGGGACTATCCTGTTTTTTTAATGTCAGTAAATTATATACATTTTATATTATATAATCATTTATTATACATTGTTGTTGATAATCATAATGATAATAATGATGGCATAAGATTAGGAAAGACATTTCAACCTAATATGAAGAATTAAATATGTGACCTGTTAAGACAAAATGTGGAATGTATTTGTGGACTCATCACATGGGGACCAAAATATACATTTTATGGACACCATAATATAATGAATAAACAAAACAATAAGGCAATGTGCAATCAATATATTGATTTAAAATCATACAAATTTAATTTATCCACAAGGGAAATTATTTGCACAGAGTAGCTCACATATTACAATATTATGACAAAGAGCAAAAAATATAGATGCAAATAAAATATAGTAAATTAAAAAAGTATATTAAAAAGTGTTGGTTTGGTAAGGAGAAACAGTGCAAGATGGAAATGAAATAAAATATATAAGTTATGTAGCAAAATAGATAGCTGTTTTATTAAAGGGGTAAGCTAAAATGTCATGGACTCACAAACAAACTAAACCCTAGGCCCTAAACACAACATAAATAATCACTAAAGTCAGAAACCCTCTTTAATTTAACCTGCATACAGAAAATACAGGGTCTTATGTATGTTGTGTTGTCCACAGAGGGATTCGTGGGAGCAGCCAGTCTCTGAGCCGGTGTCTCAGGTGGACCCTCTGTGTGGGGACAGTCTGGCCCCTGTCTCTGTGCCCGCGTCCATGCCCAGCCCCGAGACCCCCGGCAGTCCGTCCCAGTACCGCTCTCCCAGCCGAGGTTCCTCTCTGGCGCCAATCAGCCAGCCATACACTCTCCATCCACTAGAGGACGCCCACTACCACTCCCTCACCACCACCTCAGGCAGTAGCCCATACACCAGTGCCTCATCCTATGTGTGCCCACCGTACATAAGCACCCCAGAGCTCATGTCCAAGATGGTCAGTGAGGAGGGTGACAACCACAGCCTGCCCCCCACCAGCGACAGTCACTCGTCCTGGGCCAAAGAGGATGCGGTCAGCTCTTGGTCTCCGTATGAAATCAGGAGAGCCTACTGAGACCAAAGACTGTACTGTAGCAGGTTGGACAGTAGGGGCGCTGTTGTGGTGAAGCACAAACAGACACTTTTTTAATGAAATAAGAAGTTTTAGGTCAATAAACTTTTCTGTGTAACTATTTTAGCTGTTCCTTTCATAACTTTATTTATTTGAAACTTATGGATATGGCCAAAGCAAAGATGTAGCTTACATTACTTAACTTTTTAAATCTTAATCGAACTATTTGCACTTTCCTCTTTCCTCTTTTTAAATTTAAACCTTTGTGTGACAGAAACTAGACTCGATGCTCAACATTCTCTCATACTTATAGCTTGACTCAGGTAAAAATGTACTGTTGTTATTTCTGATTTACTTATGTTTCCACAATTACTCAAGGGCTGGGTCACATCATTTTTTACACTGTATTGATCTATCGCTTTTTTTTTTTAATTCTTTCTTAAAAACAAAATAAAAGTTTTAACTCTGCTTCAAACCAATGTGTTTAAGATTGGACTGACAGAGGATTGGCTGTATCTCAAGCTCAATTAAAATGTAATTAATTGCCCAGCTCTAATTAAAGAAATGTTCTATTTTTCTTCACATCAACTATTAGCTTTGTAATATACGTTACTACACTCCTTAACAGTTTTTGTAAAAGTACTATAGTATGTAGCAATGGTTTCTATGCAATATATTTAAGGCTTGGTATGTTTCAATAAAGAAAAAAAAAAGTTGTATTACTGCTCCAAAACATTTGACTGATGACATATTTGAATGACATTCGTCTCGGATTTTTTGTTGTTGTTTTCTTTTAACGAAATCACAACTTTAAGCTCTGTCATGTTGTACTCATCTTTAGCCACGTGATGGCGCTTCAACACCTGAATAAAAGGTACAGACTTGATAATAAGCCAGCTAGATATAGGGTAAATGAGTCTCTTTTTTTTTTCTTTTTTTTTTTTACAGAACATTGCTGGCGTAATCAATGTCTTAAAAAACAAACAAACAAACAAACAACTACAACTTAGTTCACAAATTACCTCACATGTTTTTATTGAGCAGCCCACGTTTTACATTTCTGGGTACATTTTACATTGCGCGTTGCAAAATACTGAAAATAATGTTTTAACGTGTTAACGTTTCTTTAATATGCTGGAAAATAAATTTAGCAGGCTAATACCTACTATTGATATAGATATAGTTTAAGAGAAGAAAAAAGCTACATTTTAAGAAAATATTGTTGAAACCTCATTGTACTTGCTCAAACAGCAAAAATTGACAATGAAGCAGTTGTTATGGTCTTATAATAATACATTACAATTCCATACATCCTACTTAAAATGATCAACAGTCACTGGTGAAAGACTAAGAGAAATTGTCATCAAATAGGCTGTAGCCCCAACTAAGTTTATACTTTGAAAGGAATGGCCTATAGTTTCAAATGGTTGTGAGCCAAGTTTCTCAAGTGTACACAGTACTGAGTTGTTCTTTCAACTTCTAATTGACAGGCATAAGCCAATAAAACTTTTTTATTCAGTTTTAAGATAAATGGTTGCATATGTGCTTTTGCAAAAATAAAAATGTACGTTGAAATTATAAAAAATGCATTTTCTCATTGGAATTTATTAGTAGTCAGGATATTGGAAAAACTCAATAACATTTAAATTTTCAACTTATGATTGGTGACAAGAATTAATGTTGCTATTTTATATTAACATTTAATGTATTTATTTCTTTCTAATGTAAAGTGTTGGGATCTTTGGTGGCTGTGGAGCAGTCTCCTTGTAGCTGTATGGAGCACAGGGATGCCAAATGGCTACGGCCTTTTGCCACGCCCACCCCATCCACTCATTTATCTGCTTTTCTTTCAAATAATAGTTTTGAACTGAACATTTTACAAATGGCCCTATGGTCAAAGTTGTACTTATTTACGCGAAAAACACCAGATTGTGCGCAAAAGTAACGCATATCGGCCACCTGTGCTCTACTGCTGGGAATGGGGGGGTGATGCTGGGATACTGAAAAACATGGATAAATTTAATAAAAGTGTGGTTTAATTTGGTTTAACTGCGAAATATTGTCATAGTATATTGAAGATAACTATATACAACCCCAATATGAAGTGATTTTTAAACAAAAATCGGCAAAACTCGGTTGCCTCTGAATATTCAAATTGAAAGTAACGCGCAATCAAATCATTGTCAAATCATTGAGTTCTAGGGGTTTTAAATAGTAGGCATGGAGGGAGAAAATCTCAAACTAATATGTCTCCAGCTATAATACAATATTGTTGTATGCTCTAAGGCTCTTTTAAGACATTTGTCTTTTGAATTTTTGAGACTTTTGAAGAATTTTCGATCTTGGCCATTGTTGCTGAGGGAGAAAAGGAACATTGTGGAGTCCTATTGGTCTTCAACAGGTGGATCTAACTTCATTTCAGGCATCATGTCGGGTGAGTTTATGGTCTTTTTTCCATCTTCGAGGGATTCTGATGAATTTTAACCTGTTTGGGGGGGGAAGAAAATATAAGAAATTTGTACACATGTCAAGCTGTGAAATCAATCGAACTAAAGTCGCCACAAAATATGTTAGTTGGACTTTTTTATTAGACTATTTATTAAAGCATTTCAATGAAAATTGCCTAATAAGACAAAACTTGATGCATCCAAACAGAGTTGTAGAATCTTAAATAGCCTATTGCAAACTTCCTCATGACATGCTGCACTGTGCGCGCCTCTCACGTCTCCAACCACTTTTTTTTTTTTTTTTTTTTTTTTTTTTTACTTTTGCGGGCGCATATTGGTAAAACTCTTGATCGACACACGCCAGGACACGATTTAAAGTTTTTTTTTTTTTTTTTAAATTAGAAGTGAAATATCGCAGCTGTCTGTCTTTCATATTGAGGGTAACTTGCGGTGCAATGAACGGGGCGTCGTGCGTAAAACCGGAGTGGGATGTGTCTGTCATAGATTTTGCTGCAGTAATTGCCAAATTTAAGACAAATCATCGAGTAGGTTTTGTGCATGAATATTAATCAGAGGCAGCTCGCCTAATTTCAGTGTCAGTGTTTTCGGGAGCGGCTCGCCACTCCTAAATGCTTTACATTAACGATGCGTGCCTTAAGTTTTTTGCCAACTTTGAACGTTATGATTAAATAACACATACATGTCGTTGCCAGTGGTGCAAAGTTAAGTTTCAAGTCCATAACAGGGTGTCTCGATTTGAATAAAGCCTCGGATTGGACTATATTGTGAATTATAAACAGCTCAGGCGTGGATGGCACAAAACAACTCATGAAGTTTAATTAGCCTAGCCAAACTCAGTACCAATCATGCCGTACGCTTTACTGCGTAAAACCATTACTTTGGCGCGCTGATTTCGTGCGCTCTGCAAATGTTGAAACTACTTTAAGAGCAGATTGCGCAGCCAATATGCTATGTTAGCTGTATAGGTTTGCTCTCCGATCTTCTCCTTTGTTGTGTTTTTGTACAGTTTGAGATATTCATATTTTCCCTGATCACATTTTCCCAAGGTTCTCGGGCGCAAACAGATTATGGATCAAACAAATCGTTGAGATCAAATGGTTAACTTTAAATTTAGAACAAATATGACTTACTGTAACACGCCGATTTTGCCTTTGTTCCTCTGTTGTTGTCTGGCTTGTGGGGTGGTGCTCGCTGCGGATCAGGAAACACAAATCCCTTACAAGGGCTATGGGTGAGGGGAAGCTCTGCAGTGGCTTTGGAGACAGCCGGCTGCGTAAAGGAGCCAGTCATTTACGCGTAAATGCTATGCACTTAAGCACTGTACATCTGGAAATCAATTGAACAAACCAGACAGCACAAAGTTTGAACATATGTAATGTTTATTTAATGAAACAAGAGATGAATGTCAGAACAAATACAGAATAAAACCGTATTTTTGATTAATGTGTTTTAAGTGCTTTGACACCGTTTAACGTTGTTTGTTTACTATCAAGTATCAGTTTCTCAAACTCTTGTCGGGATTAGATAAAGAGGATTAGGGCCGGGAACGCGCCAAGTTAGGTGCTACCGCTGTAACATGTTTGCTCCTGTTGACTAAACATGTTTGCCACGCGGTGTTCTTTATACAGATAAATCCAAGGTTTACCCCGGAGTCCGCGTCAAGACTACCGTCAGAGAGCTGCTGCAGAGGCACCGTGCCCGCGAGGCCAACAGAAAAAATGCTAAAACGGTAGATACCCCCCCACACACACACAACACCCAAACGCACGCACAACCAATTAGCCGCTCCTCTGATAAATGATTGATGGCCCCCGACATCATCATGTAACGGCTCCTTATAACGATTAATCACAACATACAAACATATATTTAGACAAAGATGGTTAAATTGTCTGCACCAGTATTAACTTCTGCTTTCCTCCCTGCGTCTTCCGATGAACAGATCATATCCCAGGCGCGTTTGGATCTGCAAAAACTTTCTGCGTCACTCTATCCAAGTAAGTTTTCCCGATACTAACCTCACGTTTGCCCAAGTTATATAAAAAGAGAAAAGAAAGCAACTTGAATTACAGAAAACATATCTCCCAAAACTCTCTATTGAGTTCCAAAATAAAGCTGGAAGTATGTATAAAAACATTAAAAAGCAAAAAGAAAACCACCAAAACAATTTAAAATGGCTAATTCGCGTTTTAAGTTAGAAATTTACAAGAAAAATATGTTAAGTCTAAACAGACTCCCAAAGTACAGCCAAGTTTAGTAGCTTAGCTCCCTCTTATAAGCTTCATTCAAATGTGTTGGCTGATGTGTCATGACATCACCCACTGTAACTTATAGCTGAGCAAATGGTTTGCTTTCTCCATTTGTCTCTGCCTTACCTCACTTAATTAGGCAAAATCACCTAATGAATATTGGTATAGGCAACTCACTGTGAAATGCCACTCTTCATTTGAGGCAAACTAAATGTTGATTCGTAATTAGAACATTCTGTTTTTAGAAATACAGTTCATTCACTTCTTTTGCATTTTATATTATTGTCAGTTATTATTTGCCTTTATAGAACATATTATTTTTAGTTCTGAGCAAGTTCCAATACTTACCAGAACACAAGTGGCAATGCTTTAACAGACTAAAGGGACCACATTAGAATGCATTAAAAAACAACAACAAAAAAAAAAAAAAAACTAAACACACACACACACACACACAGAAAATGTTTCCAAATCACCTGTATTTTTCATTATAGGTTATTCTTATTTGTAACCATGGTGACTTTCATGCCACTGTATTGGTAGTCTAAATCTTGTTTTTTTCTTCCCACAGCTGCTCCTGCTCCAATTCCTGATGTCAGCACCCTCCAGGTGCCTTACCCTGCCTCATACCCTGTCCACGAGTGCCTGAGCTCCAACCAGACACAGGACCTGAACACTTATAACAACAACTTTCAACACCAGCTCTGGGATGCCGTGCAGCCTAGCAACAGTGGTCCCAGCAACCACCTCCAGCATATGTACCAGCAACATCCACAGCAACACCACAGTGGACAAAACTACCAGAGTTCAGGCCTGCCACCATCTTGGAACCATGGATTGTCATCAGATGCAGACTACTATGGGCCTGGCATGGTAAGACAATGGCTGGATGGAACATTTGAAACTTATTGCTGTTCTTATTTCAAATATGCATTAGTTATAAATAATAATAACAATTTGGGTATTATATGAGAAGATAGTGGGCAAATAGATTAAAACTTCAAAATTTTCTAAATCTATATATTTACAATTTAACAAATTTGCTGTAAATCTTACTAGTCACAGCACGATATTACGCTATGAGCTAAGATTAATACATGTTTTCAAAAGCCTCTAAAACATGGATTATGCTTTTCAGTTATAATATACTTGTATTTAGATCGCTCATCGCCTTTCGAATCTGGAGTCCTCTGGCGACTGGGTTGGTATATACAGATTATAACATTGTCCTATCTTGTTGCAGACTTCTTGTTCACCTGCTGATTGTCTAAAGATATGCAGCCCTGATGATCACAACAGCTATTCACCTCACAACTCCTTCTCCTCCTCTTCTTCCACCTCTTTGTCGTCCTGCTACGATTCACCCAGTCGCTTGGAGTCTAGTTTCTTCAGCCCAGAGCCCTATACATATACCCAGCACTATCTGTCCCAGGACTCTTACAATGTGGCCCATTTGCAGCAGGAGGCCTTTTCCAACTCTGAATATGCTCCATACTACAACTCCATGGACTATGTGTACCCATGCATTGATGAGAGCTTCTACAAGAGAGACCTGACAGCTGAAATATACAACACGCTATGATGCCAGCAGTATTGACCCTGTGTTTGTAAATAATGTCCATGTAAAAAAAGTTTCAACAGATTGTATGTACATATCAGCTTGTGCTTGTAATTGCCCTCTACTTTGGTTGGGAGAGATTGTGACAAATCCTTAATGGATGTAATTCAAGTTTTGGTATTTTTATATCAATATTATTTTTTTACCACTGAGAATTATTTTACTACTGTAAAATGCTGTACAAAAATAAACAGAAACATTTACAAATGCTGAGTATTTCTTTTCTTTTTTCAAAGATTTGTAGGTTTAACTACATGTGGTAAACACATGCACACTTATTTGTAAGACTGATTGTGGGGAAAAATGATACACAAATAAAGCACTACTTTAGAAGAATGCTATTTTGTTTTAATTTTGCAGTTTGCACTGCAAATTGACTTGACTTTTGACAAGAAAGTTCAAAGCCCCTATATTACTGACATGCAGAAGTAAAACAATGCAGTTCCAAGAATATCAATATACATAGGGGTGTCAAATTATCGCGTTAATTGCGATTAATTAATTACAGTCATATTTAGCGCGTTATGTTTTTTAATCGCGTTAATCTCATTTTTAATCTCTAACTTTAGTGTTTCTGTATGTGAGTTTCTTTATTATAAAACCTGTTTTATTAAATAATGACCTTACAGTTACTACATCTCTTTTCATCCATAATGTTTGCAATAATACAAGGACTATAATAAAATAATTGTTATTCTTCGTTATTCTTCACACAACAATATTTTTATTATTACATCTATAATTAGTATTGAAAATTATTAGATTTATAGTGACTTATAATATTATTAGAGAAGTGAAAGGTAAACAGAGCCTAGGGGCAGAGGGAACATGTGGCCCCTCTCCTGTCTGAGTGATTCTTCTGGGACGAGATTGCCAACAAGCCTCCCAGACCCAGACAAACATGGACCCCAGGGCTGGTGGGGAGGGGGGCATAAAGGTGTGTGTGTGTGTGTGTGTGTGTGTGTGTGCGTGTGTGTGCGTGTGTGTGTGTGTGTGTGTGTGTGTGTGTAAGGGGGAAAAGGGGGGCATTGATAAGAAAAAAGGAGGGAAAATGGGAGAATTAGCAAATTGTGTTGTTTGTGACATTTTAATCCATTTAGGCACCATCTCAGCTCAGATCTAACTATAGCTGCAGGGACTTAAGACAATGAGCCCATTCAGGTTTACAAGCAGAGATCTTATACCGTCATCACTGTAATACACAAAGTGAAGTTTATCTTGAGTCTCGCAGTGAAGCCTGATGAGGTGTCAGATCACTTGTCAGAACAAACATACACATGGTGCCACATGGATTAGGAGGGAGAAGAGCAGGCTGAAGTGCAGCTCTCAGGGCTACAGTCACAAGATGATATGATGAGCCACTGTTCTGACAAAGCCATAAGATCCATTTTAAATGTCTACACAATATGCAGCAGTGAAACCATGCACATAAGATGGTGTTAGTTTGTGCAGAATGGCTCCACCACATACAAATGAAATGATATCATCATCAATTATATCTTTATGTAGTGGACTTTATCCTGCACAGTATAAATGTCCCATCCCATCCAAATTACACACACACGCACGCACGCACACACACACACACACACGCACGCACACACACACACACACACGCACGCACGCACGCACGCACACACACATATATATATATATATGCTTAGATAATATGATCCAAGATCAGAGTGAGTGGTTTTACAGTGCTGCCTTGAGCCTAAGTGGTGTCAGATGTCATTAAAGACAAGTCTGATCTGGTGTTGAACTGTGGAGTGTACTTGACCTTTGTCACTATCGCAGTGTTAGCAGTCTGCCAAACCAAACATAAGAAACTGAAAAAGGGACTGCTTTTGTGTTTTTCCCTTCACACTTCACTAATCCTGATGTTTGTGTGTGCTATTGTGTTTATATTTCATAAATCCTGTTGGCACAGCCTGCTGCTGAACAAGCAGTTGTGGAAATCCCCTGCTAAGGCTGCCTCTTGCAACACCTTCCACACTCAGATTTACTCCAGGCCATTACAGTGCCGGTGGCAATATAACTTAAAGTGCCGTTCTGTAAATCTGCAGGTAGGTGTCTCAGTATTGTCTGCCAAAAAGAGAGTGAGAATGAATGTAAAAAGAAAGGAAAGAGTGGTAGTATTTTGCCTATCTGTCCCTTCTGAGCACCACAGCAGGATATGGAATGGATTCCCTCTGGAACAGACGGCAAGTGTCTTGCCAAATGACTGCCAACCAGCTCTGCCAACACCTGCATAGTAATAACACACTGTAGATCCCATAATTGACAACTTAAACGATTGACATCTCGGAAGCAAATTTGACTCCATGGCTCAAATGTTTACAATGAAATCTTAGCCTTTGCGGGTTTAGATTTATGTATTCTCCAGAACCTGACTTATTAATAACATGATTATTTGAACTGTCTGCACAGTTATATGGGAGATTATGGGAGATGTGTTGTAAGAGCAATAAACAAAGATAAAGTGAATGTACTTTCTATCTTATTTTATTATTAATTGTGTTACCTGCCTAGGGACTCCAGATGGAAATGAGCATTTTTGCTATAATCTGGCATATTTAAACTGCAGTGTGGTAGATGTTCATTAATATGCACTGTCCCTATTAAATAAATAAATAAAAATAAATAAATAAATAAATAAAGACATTTATTAATTAATAAAATCTGTGGAATTTCCATGTTCTCCTTGGGCCTGTGTAGGTCATATACATACATATACATTAGGATTTCCTCTGGGGCCTAGCCTGATTCATTAGCCGGTTTTACTTTGTAGAAACCGTGTGACCTTGCAGTGTTAGAATTCATTTGCTCAATGGTAGGCGGGTACTTTTTATCATTTAACTAATCACTGCTATTTGGTAGTCACGTATGTAATGCGCCGCTAACGGGGCTAACTGGTATATTAAGCTTTTCCTAAATCCCATAGGAAGAAGTGCAATAATGTCTTTCCCCTTGATTAAATTCGCCAAACATTCTCTTTATTCTGGCTTTAAATCCTCAATCTCAGGAAGCGTTGACAACACTGAAAATATGGCTCTTCACTGATTGGTTTGTGTCTGAACTTGCACTTCCGGGGTTTTTGCAAACCATCTAGGGTATTCCGATTCGTGACCTAGTCGCTGGAGAGAAATGAAATTGAGCAGAGGCACTAGGTGGCGCCAGCCTGGCTATCTGGGGCCAGGACTCCCCTGAAAAAGAGATTGATAATCTCAACCGGACTATCTTGGTTAAATAAAAGGTCAATACTTTTAAATGATAGTAATAACACAATCCAAATTCCCCAGACCGCACACCACATATTTGTACTCATTTATTCACAGAAACCTTTATAATCATTGATCAATAACTACATACTTCTAAGGTGTGTTCTGTTATTAATTAACTAAAAGCACACCCACGTTTATAGAGAGGTAAAAAGCTGCTCAGTAAAAGATATCGTTAGATCAAAAACAGGTTGTAATTATGTACACAATACTTGGTGAGTTGCCCATTCAGTTTTATATGGCACTTCATTCTGTCTTGTTTTCTGAGTTGCACAGCTACCAGATAAGAACAGTATAAAGTCTGGCCTTTATTACGAGGACTTGTGCAGAGCCCTGGGGAAGAAACTCATGAGTCAGTGTGTAATCCGTTAGCCCCATTGGCCCCTGTCTGCTACTAGAGGCTCAAGAACAGAGACCAACCCAAAACAACTCACCTTTTACAAGCAAACTGAACACCATTATCTGCATGTATGTGACATGTTCTTTAGCTCAGTTGGTTGGTATAGCATTTGTCCACTGATCCATTGGTTGAGCATTGGTATGAATATGTGTGTGAATAGGTGAGTGGTTCCATGATGTAAAGTGCTTTGAGTGTCTTGAAGGTGAAAAAGCACCATATAAAAATGTGACCATTTACCATTTAGAATACCAAAATATATGTTTAGAATGCTTAATTTATGGCATATGTTTTGTGCAAATAAAGCAGAACACAGTATGGCCCACTGATCTAGGTAGCTGGGTTATTCACATTGCCCTCTACTGGCCTTTTTTCTTTTTACATTTATGTCTATATGTTTACACTGACTGAAACACTTTGGAAACTGCTTTGTTTGTAAAATGAGACAGAAAAAAACTGGGTTGTATTTATTATTCAGCATTAACACTATATAGTGGGACTTTATTTGTAGCTCTTGGGGGTAATATAATTAAAAGTTTAGTTTAGTCTAGATATGAGAACCTTTTTGTCATAGTCTATCCAAGGTTTAGTTTAAATTGTAATGTGTTTTGTGGCTTGTATGTGGAACACCTTAAACTAGGTCACATAACAAGAATATAACACAAACCTTTCATAAGTTAATGTTAGTATGATATCAGGGTGGTTCTGCTGATTGATTCATAGCTCTGCACATCAAATCCCAAAGTCTAACCCTAACCCTAACAACACAGTGACTTATTTCAATCTGACTGAGAGCGGAGGGATTTATTTACTCTGTCATACCACGATTGTTGACTTAGTCTATATAGACTTAGAAACATTTGTAGGCCTAGTCTATAAAAATAATATAAAAACAGATAGAAGGGCATTTTCAAAGAAATTACGGTTTGTGTCAGATGAAGAATGCGCGTAAACTCAAGACATTTATTCATTCATGTTTTCCAACAGAGAGAGGAACTCAAACAAATAAAACTCCAGGTATGTTTTTGGTAAGGACATCAAATGATAACAGATCAGAAAATAGCGTAATATGCCACCTTGTAGCCTATCTGGAAGCTACATGAGGCTACTTTTCTCTCGTGCAGAGGCACCTCTAGTCTAGTGGTAGAATATAATGAAGTAAAAGTAGTAAAGTACTGTACTTAAGGTGCACTGTGTAACTTTTAGGATGGAGGGTCTTTTAAAAATCTAAATTCCTAGGTTACATTTGAAGCTTTATTAGATTTCTAACTGTGCGCATAATACTTTTTACTCTTTACGTAACAGCTTGGCTTGCCACAGTGGCCTCCTGCTCCTGGTGAGAGCTCCACAGCGCCTCGCACGCTTGCCAAGGAAACCCGTTCCTTGGAAATCGGTCGGTCTAGTCGGCCACACCCAAATATTAACCTCTCTGACAGTTTATCATTGCCCAGCACAATGGGGGGAAAGTGTCAAAAGCGGGTAATTTGTTAATTTGAATAATTTGCAGATCATGCTGCATGCATTCAATGGACACCCGCAAACCAGAATCTCCACAACCAGCAAAGGCATGTGCAGTGTGTGGAGGTAGCTAGCTTTATTAGCCTTTTTTCTGATTTAGCCCGGGTGCAGTTGCAGTTTTTATCAATCCTCCTCTTGGCACAACACCAAAGTCCATCTCCCCCTGTGTCCTGCAGACGGCCAGTGTGAAAGGTAGCGTCATCTAAAGATCGGTAAGTAGCCTTATGTCAATAGCAGCGCATGTGACAGGGAGACACAAACTAGATAAACCAGATAATAGTTCCAGCGAATCACTCTGGGATTTTCCCTGTTTGTTCCTAATGCAGTCAAACCGTTTGCGGAAAAGAAATTGTAGTCCAGACATGTCATCAGTTCCCTAATAAAGAAAAACACAAAAACAAACAGTTCGTGTGTGCGTAAGCTCCAATAAATTGCCACGTATTTAGTTTACTTTACATGCAAGTACTGTTAATCCCAATACTACTGTTATTTGGGTGTAGTTTTACCAGGGAAAGGGAATATGTCATAATTTTTAACCACATTTGGCAATCTTTCTGGTGTACTCATTCTTTCAATTCTGCTTCCTCAGTTCTTATTGTTAGTTCAATTTGCTGATTAGCACCAACTCACTATTGAAAGCAAAACATCATTATGAGGCAATATAATGTAATGCATGTACACATTTTTTAAGACAGTGCATAATAAATCCATAAACTCACCTCACTCACTAAACCACGGGGTCACAAAACTTTTTTCTCTGGGGGCCACATTATTGCTCCTAACTGTGATGGGGGGGCCGGGGTCAGGCAGGTCATATAACAGAATTGTTATATAGCCTACGTGACCTTCTCCTGACCAAAATTACCAAAATAACCATCAGTAGGCCTCAATGTGTAGCAGAAATTACTATCCTGTCACAGCCATCCGCAATACTATATCAACATATAATTCCTGGCACATATTTGTTTATCATTACTTAACTTACTTAACTGCGCTACAGTACTCTTCACTTGCATTGACTGTCACTGTTTGATCTCAAGCTTGTCAGGTGATGAAAATTCGGGGGCAAATGTAAATATCTCATATGATTATTTAAATATAAATACTTCATATAAATATAATTTTTTATTGATAAAAATCAACAAAATACAAGATGCAGACATGTTATTATTTGCCAAAAAGTCATTTAAAAAAATAGGCCATAACAGCTTTTGAGTATTGGTATCAAGTGGTGGGGGGCAGAGGGGCTGGGAGCCGGAGTTGGCCCTGCACTAATCTTTTTTACAACCCGTGACTATGTTTTTTTAAAAGGAGTTGGTATTGTGAAATGTGGTCTCCTGGGGGTGGCAGATTTCTGTGACCTTGAGCAACAGCCTTTTAAATTGAAGAGACTGACAGCTCCTGATATCAAACACTCGGCACAGGCAAGTTACTGCAGAGACTCTCTCAGAACAAAAGGTTAAGTCAATAAATAAACAGTGTATGCTACAAGGTGCAAACTTGTTAAGAAGAGAAGCATTGATAATCCTCTATAAAGTAGTCCTGCTAAATAGTACCAGGCAGTGGAGATGTGTTTAAAGCTTGAAGCACTTGTTCAATTGGCATGAGGTCTGACTGGTGCCACGGGCGAAAGATGGATTTTAAAGAGGTCCCCCATGACACCGCTGCATAATTACTCAGAGAAGTGCCTTTGGGCGACCCCACACATGGCTGTGGATTTGTAGCACCGTCAGTTCAATACGGTGGCAGCTCAAACTTGTTTGACTGAAACCTGCTGTGTCTTGTGAGTGGTTTGTAACATTTACAGCTTCCAAAAACGTGCCATCGCTTCCACATTTTCTTGTTACGAATCACCTCTGGCTCTGTTCTTTCACTCACACCAAACATGAACATACTTGCACTCAGTATCACGACAGGAATCAAGTTTCGTTCAAGCTCTCCTTTTCTGTTGCCACCATCATCTAAGTGTAAAATATTACATTAAACACATTCTCACCATACAAGCTGGACGACCACGTTTTGTGATACCATCTCCGTGTTTTCAGGTGTGAGGATGGCCCCCTCCTCATGGCAGTTTCCCCTCAGGGTAAACCCTGGGGGAACGCTTAACATAGGCTCTGCCTGGGAGAGGTCAGTCAGTCCAAATACATGGTGAGTAGACAGTACTCATATACTTTATAACTTAAACTACTCCCACCTACCCCAAATCTGGACAATTTTGGATGACAGTGATGTCAATCTTAATCTTTTTGAGTGGTCTTGTCTCATGAAATGTCTTGATGTATATAAATAACCTATGGCCAAAACATTTCTTTCAAGATCAAAGTGCTGGTGAAATATTTCTTTTGAAACTTTGCCCAAAAGCAATGGAAAAGATCCAGTTGACACTTGCTGCTCCTGTGTGTCCTGAGGCTTGTTTCAATGCAAGAGTACATAGAAAGTTTCAAGACTTTTAATGACACAGTGTCAAAAAGTTGATAAAATCTCTTTATTATAAACTGTAACATCAAAGAATTTCCTTTTATTACACATTTGTGACATAGATTGAGTCACTGTATAAGTCTTTATCTTCTTCATCTTCAGCTTTTTGCTCTTCCAAAAGTTTATCCAGAAGGCTGGGAGACTCCTGCTTCTCTGGGTCTTCCTCCTCACTCTGTCCGTCACTCTGCCCCTCACTTGGTCCCTCTGCTACAGGCTGCAGCGGTGCCTCCAGTATTTGCGTATCTGCGTTTGACACTTGTGGGTCCAGCTGAGGGATCATTGTGGCCAAAGACATGGAGAGAGGCACATGGAGCAGGGGGGACCCGCTCAGCGCTGCGTTGCTGGACATGGTGGTCCAGGGCAGGTATGTGAGCCCCGAGTCTGAGTCCATCTGAGGCAGAGGGGTGGGCACTGGAGCCACTGGGATAGTCTGAAAAACAAACACATCAAACTACACATCACAACTGTCACCATCTGTCTTCATTAGCCTCAAACTACTGACCTTTCCTCTTAACTATGACCATTTTTTATTATGAGTTATACATTAATTTGACAGGAAGCACTTTGCTGACATAACCAATAGTACACATTCTCATTAATAGATATCGTTCTCATGTTTCATTTTGAAGTGCTGTGTTTTGCATAGGGCTTTACTTGGCATGCCTTGAACTGTCAGCATTTAGCAAACTTGCTTCTGTGTGTGTTTTTTTTTTTTTTTATATATTAGTCTTGCAGTTATTATTACATCAGCCATTTCATTACTGAGAATTACTGAATCACAATCTGCCAACATCATCAAAACAGCAGATTTTAGATGCTATACATATCACTAACCCTGTCACAGTAATCACTATATCGACAAATCATTCAATATATGAAAGCTGAAACAATGTTTTTATTGGGTCAATATTTATTGTGTACATATTTTCTTTGCTTTACTGGGAAATGTTTTGTTACGTTTTTGGCTATATGATAAGACTAAATGTTAAATTAAGCCCTTTTATTACTCAGTACAGAAGTACTAAAGTGTTTCATTCTGCTCATGTTTGCTATATCCTGTTTATCGTCTATATTTACTTCAGCAATATATCACACGTCAAATTTTGTCACCATGACAGGTCTACTTATCACACTCTAGTACTTACACCAAAGTTAGTTAGCAGAGGAGCATGGGTGTAGGTGAGCATGGTGTAGCTAGGGCACAGGGTGGACATGTAGAGGTCTGTGCCAGTGGAGAGGGCAGTGGTGACGGAATAGGACTGGCTCGGAGCTAGGCCGTCCTGGGGGTTGCTTTCAGGGGCAGACCAGGGCAGGAGAGTAGGCTGGACAGGGCAGCCAGAGGTGGGCACAGCTCTCCACCCAGAGCACCCTTCACTCAGTGCTGCAGAAGACTCAGAGCTGGAGAATAGTCCTGGGGATATGAGACAGCAACCATGAGGTTTTGGTTCAAGTAGTTGTGGTTTAAAGGTCCCATATTGACTCTTGTGAGCTTTAAGCCATGTTATAATGTTGTTACCTCCTCAAAAACATACCTGGAGTTGCGTTTTGTTTTAGTCACACGTGTATGAGACTAATATTGAAGGGTTACTATCTACATCTCCAAAGCTCAAAATGCTCTGTTCCACCTTGTGATGCCATGTAATGGTTGTTTTCAAGTTAATAGATACCTTTTAAATTTAGTGCAGTAAAGATTGACATTTCCAGGGCTGAAATTATCCAAATGATTGTAGTGAAGGTGTATGTAGTTTAAAAACACAGTGTAGCACTTCTTTTATTTCCACATGACATCACAAGGAGGAACAGAGTGTTTTCTGTTTGAGGGAAGAACTCCGCCTAAATATGCAGGGTTTGTGTGTTAAACATGTGTGAATGAAACAAAATGCAACTCCAGGTCTGTTTGTGATGAGGAAACAACATTATAACATAGATCAGAAAATAGTGTTACATGGGCTCTTTAATTTTGAGTGAAATGAAACCACAAAGATATTTAGATTTTATTTACAGAGGTGCATGGTGAAACTTGAAGAGTATTTTTTCCATGTTATTGTTGACTGCTGTTTGGCATATGTGAATCGGATCTCACTAAGATCACTAGTTTATTTAAAATGTTTTTTAATGAATCTTTAGAGTGTCTGTCTGGCCATTGTATGTGTGTCATAGGCCCAGAAGTGATTGGATATCATGAATCAGAAAAAATCTTCCAGAAAGTGCCCTGCAGGTGCCCTGCAGGTCACTTTCTTAAATTTGAGGGTAGTAGAGTCACCTTGACAGACATGAGAGATTAAAGGGAGGGTATTCAAATATTGGTTTACATTACAATTATAAGGCTGATTTATTCTCATCAACTCGAAACATGAACCATTGGTAAAATCCTCCAGTTAAGGTAGTCCTTACCAAGCTTAGCTCAAGACCCCTAGAAACGGGTCACAGGGACAAGGCGATTATCCAGTCAGAAAGCAATATGGGCATGTCTCATTTGGTTTGGCAGTTCCTACAACTAGAATCAGTTGGAAATAAACCTAAAATGACTCTCTGATTTGAAACCTCACTACCTAAACACCGGCACCTTCAGCCAATGATTAATTTGTGCTAGTACAGCCTCTGCAGCTCAGTGACTGAATTCTGGAGTTTCTGTGCTTTCACATGACTCATGGCCTGCTGCATAGAATGAAAAATAATGTGTATGTCCTTAATCTGCATGTTAAGGCACTGGCAAGCCCAAGCCAGGTTCTGTTGTGATTATAGTACTTCTTTAAAACCAGTAAAAGTGCTGTCTGATACCCACTCCATAAACTTTTATGTATTTATTTCATCTTGGAGGCGGCTGTTTATATAGTTTTGTACATGTCTGTAGCTGTACCTTGACTGACAAAAGGTCCCACCTCCTGAAACAGAACACAAAAAAGAATTTAGAAGATTAACAATAACAACAACACACTGTGTCCATAACAGACAAGTGTAGACTGTAATGTAAATAAGCCACACACAGTGCACTGACTCAAGAGCTTTAGGACAGGTGACACAGCACTGTTTGTACTGAGATTAAAATGTTATTTTCTATAAAGTCTATTTTGAGAAAATCAGTTTGAAGGAAGAGGTAATCACACATTGAAATTGCTGCTACTGTTGCTACTACTGTTACTACTACAACTATTTCAAACATAAAATGCATTTTTTTTAACTTGTGACTAACACAAATGTTAAGAATACTAAAAGAAAAGTGGAAAATCCTAAAAGAAACTGGGAAAACATTGGGTCTAGACCAGGACAAAGCATGTAAAAACCTGACTATCTGAGAACACCGTAATTATATAAGCCAATTATTAGATGTACTGCTATGTTGCAGGAAACAAAGGAGAATATTAGAAGCAGAAACTATAACCTGCAGATCGCTCTCGTAATTGTTGAGATTGCGTAAAAGGAGGTGTCTTCTCCTGAAGGCACAACAGACACCTGACGTCAGTGGGCTGTTCAAATGAAACACTTCAGATGTGGAGCAGACTCATAAACACTAGTGTTTGATCATTTCTGTGTAACCTTTCACCAAATGATGTAAAATATGATTTAACCTATTTTTGTTTTGGCATCAAATATTTGTATGTGGTAAAAAGAAATTAAAAGCTGCTGATGGTGAATCTCAGCTCCCGATACTTTACAGTGGAATGATTGCACAGTGGAGAATGTTTAATTCAGTGTTTTTTGCCTAAAACCTGTGCCGTGGTCCTCAGCCCTGTTCATGTTCATAGATGCAGTGGGAGGACTCAAGGGCAAAGATGCAGTTCTTTTGTCTTTTTTTCCCCTGAAGCCATGGAGCGATGTAACTGTCACGAAGAACCACCTGGATTATGTAAGGAAAAGTTTGTTGAGGGATAGGCCCAGGATTCCAATCAGATCTACAGATGAATTTGTTGACTAATCTTCCTTTAGGCATAGACTCTTGTTGGCAAGGCATTTGCTACCAATAAAAAGTCTCTAAGACGTGTATGTGAGTCTACTACCCTGTCTGCATATCCTGATGATTTTCCCAGCACTTATTAATCATTTACAAAACGCGTGGAACTGTCAGATGCCAATTTTACATGTTCTGGAGACAGTAGATGGGAAACTGGTCAAAGAAACTTTCAAGAATCAACACGCTGCTGTTCGAACAACTAGCACTTACTACTTCAAACCTGATCCTATTTATTAAAGGTCATATATTAGAAATCATTCACTCTTGTGAGCTTTTAGCCAAGTTAGAATATTTTTACCTGCTCAAAAACATACCTGTTGTGCTTTGTTTCATTCACATGTTTGAGTAATCCTTTATTATTAGTTTGTCTACTCCAAAGCTCCAAATGCTCTATTCCATCGTATGATGTCCTGACGCTGTAATTATCAAGTTAAAATTTACCTTTAACCTTATGTTTAGTTATACAGAGGCAATTCCAGGGCTGAAATAATCCAAACGATTCTACTGAAGGTGTATGAAGTTTAAAAACACAGTGGAGCATTTCCTGTATTATCACATGGCATCACAAGGTGGAACAAAGTGTTTTCTGTTTGAGGGAAGAACTTAACCTAAATATGTAGGCTAACAGTATGCCTAAATTTGTGTGTTAAACATGAAAAAAAAACACAACTTCAGGTATGTTTGTGATGAGGAAACCACATTATAACAGAGATCAGAAAATAGACTAATATGGGCCCTTTAAACAGTAAACATTGGGTTCTGTTCATTGAGATTACACTGCAATGCCCAGCTAGGATCATATATGGCTTTTTATTAAAGGAGCCATATTATGCTATCTCTACTTTTAAGAGCTTTTTACAGCTTTGTCTTTGCTTTGTATTTTGAGTGACTTGTTTGAGTAATCTTTATTCTCCTGCAGTCAGTGGATCATTGCACTGAAAATTCACATTTCACCCACCCTTCTCATACACCCACTATTTTCTTACCTCATTCTCAATTTTTTTTTCCTAAATGGGCATACACGTAGAATTCCATAATATTGTGTAGCCTGCTACTTGCTACTGGGAACTGTAGATTTCTATAGGTGGCAGTGGGGGCAGTACATACCATAAAGGGGTAGGCAGAAATCAGCTCCACTGTTTTCAAGTGGTCAACAGACTTGTCTTCTTTTTTAAATAATTTGATAATCTGATAATAATCTGATATCATCTTAAATCCATATCAGATCATCCCTAGAGACAGCCCTCAGTTGTGTCTAGTGTGTCATGATAAATTTTTATGCACCCTTAAGGAGGAAGTATGCATGTTTGCTTTTGCTCATACTTACTCATGAGTATTTTTTTTAACATTCTTATGCATTCTAATCTTTTTATGAGTGAATTTTTCCCACCACAGTTGGAGCCGTTGCCTTGGAGTTAGGGGGTGCTGCACTTCTTTTCCTCCGGAGTAGCTCTCTGACTGGGTCCTTCACCCGAACCCCTTGGTATGGTCTGGGCCGCACCTCAGCTGCTGGTTGAGCTTGAAGAAAGAATTTGGATAGATAAGTTTTGAATAATTTATACGAAGATATGTTTTTATTACCCAGCTGGCACTGAGTCGTGAGCAATGTCCATTACCAGAGTGTCTTCTCTGAGACAAATTTACACAGTCTCAGTCTTTTTGAGATTTTTCAGAATGACTTTGCAAGTTCATGCAAGAGAGCAAATGGGATTTGTCTTCAGGCCTAAAAAAAGCAGTACATGTGGAACAATGAACCCAGTTTGACTGTGCTGCAGGGTAGGAGATACAGGAAGCACAATTACTTAAACTGTCTCAAGTTTCTGGTGCTTGAAATGAGTAACATTGCATGAAATCTTTTTACTCTTACTTTATTTTTTATTTCATGTTTTAGTTTGGTATTGAAATGGCTTTAAAAAAAGGGTACTCAGTAGCCTACTGCTGTCAGTACTAAAGTTGTGCTTAGTATTATTCACTGTGGGATTGAAAAAGACAGAAGGGATCCAGCTCGTCTAGTCAGCTCACTGCATCAATAGCTGCACATTTTATAGGTGCATTTTTGTTATATTGCTTTTCACATGTAGGTTATAATTTGTAAAGCGTTGTTGTTATTTCTGATTGTGATGAACAAATTGAGCACATAAGTTCTCCCTAATCAATCGCCCATGTGACCTGACCACTGCCTACATTTCCATTAGTGTTGTCATTGAGTTCTCTCAATGACCTGTGTACAAGCTGTCCACATGTCAGTAACTGATTGGTTTGAATTGCTGACCACAGGAGTTAAAGTAGTAAAACTAAATTGTGTTTCTGATGGTACGCCTTGTGTGGACAAGCAGAACCAGAGGTCTCCTTGTAAATGGTCACATTTTCCTATAGCCACCTTTCCACCTTCAAGACACTCAAAGCGCTTTACAACAAGGAACCACTCACCCATTCACACACCAGTGTACACAGACACTGTGGGCAATGTGGGTTAGGTGTCTTGCCCAAGGACACAATGACAGCATTCATCTGTGGGAGCTGGAATCACACCAGCCAACCTGTGGGCCAGTGGATCTGACCACTCAACGTGTGATGTTTTTGTCAATCGAACCGCCAACCTTCAGTTCAGTGGGCGAATGCTCTACCAACTGAGCTACTGCCGCCCCCAGAGAGTAGAGAGTGCAAGGGATCTTCAAGTTATTGACAAGCCCTTAGTGTTCTAGTTTCTCTGTTGTGAGAACAACAAGAATTACAAGATCTGATCAAAATTTATTTATTATTCGATTTTGCAACAATGATTGCCTAATAAATATTGCATGCTGTGATATATTGAGTTACATATGGGGATGAACTCATGATATATGAAATTGTGAGATTTAATTCCTCTTTACAAAGAGACGCTGCAGAGGCTATCGACTCTACTGAAATACATAAGATGTGAGAGGAAGCAGAACATACAGCTCTAACTTAAATAGCTTGAAACAAGTCATTACAAAATTATAAGTGCCAATAAAAGGCGACCTTTGGCATATTGTCAAATAAATTATTATATTGTGATAAAACATATTGTCCTGTCCTAATGTAGAGTCTCACAAAACAAAGGATTTGACTAATAGATTATTGTTTCTGCAAGTTTTGTTGAGCATTCAAAGAGGAAGTGGCACAGCTGTGTATTGCTGTATTGATGCAGGGTCCCGAGCATTTTGCATATCAAGATTGCATCCTAGTCATAACATTATCTTCCTCTTTCCAAAAGACAGTTTTCTTTTTATTATTTTGACTGATTGAGTTTAGATTGTATTTTATAAAGGCTATTTCTTTTTGAATTCCCTATGTATGGATACATATACTTAAAAATGACACATTACAATTACACCACATTTGCAAAATACATACAGAAGAAATTCAAAACCCAAGAAACCCAAAACATGCTTCATAGGTCTCCAGGAAGAACAGTTGATAGCCAAGGTCAGTTAAATACAATCAATCGGTGAACCTGCCCAGGGACTACAGGTGGAAATTAGCACTGGTGCTACAACCTGGTACAATGCATCTCTCCTGTTAAGGTTAATATAAAAATTGTATGCTGTCCCTGTCTCATTAAATAAATAAAATTCATTTCCACTTAAAACTTTGTCTCAATCATAGTACGTATAATTTGCTCTCAGTCAACACCAAATTGCTAAAACCAAGTTTTGCGACATATTTCTACGCAATTGTACTTACATTTTTCCCAGAGCATTGTGATGGCTGTATCAGGACGTTCAAGTGAAGGCAACGATCAAAGTGGGGACAGAGTGTGGGTCTTTATAACTGTGGCACGACCAGGGCCCTTGGGATTTCAGTGCTGTTCAAATCTCAAAGCAGCAAGTTTCATTTGTAACTGGTAGATATGTTTGCTGTACTCACCAGCTTTTTAAACAATAACATACGTAGATCATGATTTTACATTTTGCCAATTGTAAACCACAAATTTGATCTAAAATGACAAAATAACCATTGACTTCCTGTTCAAAAACAAGGGGCATTTCAAGCAAGCCATGGATTTTCATGTATGTTTTTTATATTTTGTGCAACAACGGCAACATGACATTTTTTTTTAACCCTGCCGGAGTCAGATTTTTAATACAGACATGTGGTGGAGATAGAAGGTTGGTGAAAATAGAAATTGTCTCAGCACTCAAGCCTTAACTGCAGGAAAATACATTGATCAAAGGAAAATAATAGCTGGTATAGTCATATATTCAAGGCATTTTTTAAACCATCAATTATTATTCAAAAAAATTGAAAGATATGGAATAAGAGTTGTAGCTTAAAATTGGCTAAAAAGTTGCTTAGAAAATCGAAAACTGGGGCAACACACTGCTTTACATGTGAGGATATGTAGGTCTGTGTTAGGACCTAAATAATTAATTTTATAAAAATAACAAAATTGGAGTGCTGCACTGGATCAAAGAAAATTACGCATAACAGGTGCTCATCATACCGGAGGGCTAGATTCACGTAAAATAGAAAAAAGATGGCAGAGGCACTCTGATTTGCGATGAATTTATTCAAAGTCACGCCAACGCGTTTCGACTACTTGGTCTTGGTATTAGCCCTGATGAAGACCAAGTAGTAGTAAATTCACCGCAAATCAGAGTGCCTCTGCCATCTTTTTTCAATTAATTTTATATATTAATGATTTATGCATTGTTTTATAGTAGTATTTGCCGATGACACAAATTTTTTATGTTATGTGGACAATATACAACAATTATTATCTAATATAACATCTGACATAATGCTGCTAAAAATATAGTTTGCCACAAATAAATTATCTCTAAATTTGAATAGAACTAAAATAATATTAGTTGGGAAAAAAAGAAAAGAAAAAAATTCAAAAAAGAGCATTTAGAACTATTTACAATGCCAAATTTCATGACCATACTAATCCATTGTTTATTCACGCCACATTACATAAAGTGAACAATTTGATTATGTACCAAATCGGCTCAAGTAATTTATAAGGCTAAAAGTAAGCACTTACCAAAAAATATTCAACAGCTTTTTGTGTTAAAGAATGATTTAAGAAGGTTTTTAAACTTTAAAGTGCCTTGTGCTCGAACAAGAAGGAAAAGTTTTGTATCTCTGTTTGTGGTGTCAAATTATGGAACAACATGAAAATAGAACTAAAACTTTGTCCAAATATACATGTATTCAACAGTGTAGTTACAAAAGCGATTACTGCTTGGTAATAAAATGTGTGTACTGTCCAATTATAGCTTATAATGTACAGGAAATGAGGAGTCTATATGTTCTTTGTTAATTTGGGACAGTAGAAAATGGGTGGAGTTAAATAAGTATTTACTTCCTCTCACTCCTTTTCAGACACAAGTAAACTCTGCATTACATTTACTTTTGTTTATTCTTATATACGTAAAAGAAGTATTTATTTTTCGTATTATATCTGTATTTATGTTTTCTATGCATGCTTTATGCATTACTGTCTGAATAAACATTCATTCATTCAATACAGTTTTACTGTAACATTCAGGCATTAATCAAAATACAATTTATAATTTACAAGCTAATTCATCATTAATTCAGTCATTATTACATGGTTAAAAGCTCATAAAAGTATATTTTACTTAATGTGTCCATTTTAATTTGTGCTCCAAAAATCACAATTCTATGTCAAACAACAACAACAACAACAACAACCAAATTAATTCTCTATATAATATAATGAATCAAAGAGACACCAGTGTAACACCATTTTATAGCTATTAATTTTCCACACGTCAAATCACATGTATCTTGCTCTTGGCAGCTTCCCAGTGAACTCTGTAGGTACAAGCCTATAGTGAACGTATATACAAGAGTGACTCAATGGTTCTAACCCTTGTAATGTCATCCTATAATGCTCATATTACTGCTGCATTTGGGTAAAGTTTGTCTCTACTCTATCTGCTTTTATAAGCCATGTTATAATGCTGTTACCTCCCCAGAAACTAAATTTATTTCATTAACAGATATTTGAGTAACTCTTTATATTATTCTTTTGTCTACATCTCCAAAGCTCAAAATGCTCTGTTCGACCTTATGATGTAAAATACCTTTTACCTCTCTAAGCATTTCCAGGGCTGAAAGCATCCAAATGATTCTAGTGAAGGTATATGCACTTTAAAAACACAGTGAAGCACTTCCTGTATTACCACATGACATCACAGAGTGTTTTCTGCTTGAGAAAAGAGCTCAGCCTAAATATACAAGGTTTGTGTGTTAAATATGTGTGAATGAAACAAAACACAACTCCAGGAATGTTTGTGATGTTGCATTAACATTATAATAACAGAAATCAGAAATAGTGTAATATGAACAGTCCAGTAGTCTTGTAGTCTAGTTTTGGCATTTTTCTTTTGGACTTGAAGACAGAAAATGGCAGTGATGGCTCGAGTTAAGACTTGTCCAAGACATTATTCGTTTTGCAGTGAGATTTAAACTGTGATTGATGATTGATCCATATTGCTGCAATTTCAGCCGAGGTTTCACTAATCTGAACCTGTCTGGGCATGTGCATGACCAGTAAGAAGAGAGATCTTTGAAATAAAACAAAATTATTTTTTCTTAGGTAGCCATGGGTTGTTTAAGGATGAAGTCCATATTGTAACAAAACAGATTTACTTTTTATGATAAACTAAGAACTAAAGTAATATATTTTCATTGCACTGTAAAACATGAAAAACATGACTCTACTGTGAGCAGGCTTGCATCACCACAAACCTGACTCTTACTGCCTTCTGCTTCTGTTTCCTTGGATATGTTGTAGCTTTGTCTATAATGTTCTACAAGCTTAACACTTTTCTGTCTCTATGGAGAATTTACCACAGTATGGTTTGTATATCCATGGAATTGTGCCACCTCCAGAATGTTACACAATGTGTTCTTTTAATTCATTTCATCTGCCCCAATCAGTTTGTATTGTTCTGTAGGTGTGAAAGCAACTCTCAGCGGTGAACTTCCTCTTTTCGGCCCTAAAAGGGGCAGCACGGTCACAGACGAAAGAGTGTACCGGATATTTAGTTAATGGGACTTGTAAGAAAATTGTATTAAACATGAAGTGACACAGTCATAGTATTAGCTCAAACTGTTAAAAATGTGCACATCTAACAAAGGCACAAACACTACTATAGGATATTGCCTCTTCCACATTTAAATGAGCAAGTGTGATACATACTGTACCACATAAAGTTAGTAAAATATAACTAGTAGCAAGATCTATACAATATGTATTACTGGACAGTTTATTCATTGAGGAAGATCTATTTTGGTTTCACTGTTCAAATATTGAAATATAATTTGTACAGATAAATTTGATTAGGTTTTGGAATTGGCTACCAAATTTTAATCTATCGTTATAAATTAGTTTGTAGATTGCATCGTCAGTTAATCTTCAGAAATGCATGTGGTCTGTAAAGGAGTGCAATCTTTTGGATAAATACATTTGAATTCAGTAATGTAAGTATTTATGGCGCTGACCAAAAATAACAAAAATACAATACAGAAATACAGAAGTAAAAAAATGTATTTTGAACAATTTATTTGTTCATTTGAACTTGCAGTTTTCAATTGCATACTGTGTTTTATAACAGTCTGTCACATAGATAGATAACATAAAGTGAGACTCAGTTATGAAACTGGACTTTGCGCTCACAGGAAACACCTGGGTGAACTTTGAGCTTCGTTGACCTCGACTCTGCAAACCACAAGAGCAGTGGCTCTCACATGCAAGAAGTACCAATATTTGGCCTTTCAAGTATTACCAGATCTAAGCCTAGTCTATAAACAGTCTATGCAAAATCTACGCTAGGCTAAATTAGGTATAAATTACACCATAGCTACAGTAGTTTTAAATAAGGACTAACCCAAATTATGACAAAAATATGCATATTGAAATGTAATTAAACAAAGTTTAGACCCACACAGAGGACCTCATGGACCACCAGTGGCCATACCATAGGTTGAAAATCACTGCACTAGCACAGTACCACCTTCTATTATATGTATTTAGTGTCAACTACAACTTGCTCTAAAACAAAAGCAGAAGTGAAGAAGCTAACTTACTGCAGCTTCAGTGGTATAGATCCATTATAAGTCCATAACTGTGAGTGGCTAGTCTGGTATCCTTGTGTGTTTTTTTTTTTTTTTTGTACAGAGTATAATGCAAAGTGTGGCTGTAACTTCTGTGCATTGCAAACAAGAACTGTCAGTAATGGACTACTCAGTCTAGTTTAAATAACAGGGAGTAGATTTGCTTTTGCAAAGGTAAGAAAGAGTGTGGTTGACTTATTTGTTTGTGGAGAGCTCAAAATGTAATCACCTGTCTAGAATTTCCTGACAAGAAATTGGTATTTTATCAAATTAACAATAACACCACGAATAATAAACTTGTATTATAAAAACAAGGGAAATTTTTTTTAACCGATTTATGCATTTATTCAGATATCTGAATAGGCACAGTGAACTATCATGCATTTAAAAGCCCTATAATACACTAAATTGACTCTTGTGATCTTTAAGTCATGTTGTAATATTGTTACCTTATCAAAATCATACCTGGAGTTGTGTTTTGTTTCATTCATGTTTGAGTAATCCTTAATTATTAGACTGTCTACATCTCCAAAATGCTCTGTTCCCACTTTGTGATGTCATAGATCCGTAGTTTTCAATACTGGATCCGTAGTTTTCTATATTTCTTTCAATAGAGGGTTGCAATTCCAGGGCAGAAACTATCCAATTGATTCTAGAGAAATTATACTGAGTTTAAAAACACAGTGGAGAACTTCCTGTATTACCTCATAATATCACAAGGGTTA